CAGCAGTGCAGCTCTGGGCTTGGATGTGTCCCCAGCACCTTTGGGATTTGGGGTGAGCAGCACGCATCATCTTTGGAGCTCATTCTGCTGTGGCTTGTTTTGTTCCATCTGTTCAGGCGCCTTTGTTAGCATGGAGCAGGAGCATCAGACCAAAGCACTGCGGGCACAGAGCACAAATGGCCTCAACAAGGGAAGGAACGTGGTGGTGAGCAGCTCGAGGAGCCCGCTGCTGCTGAATCTTTCCTGTCCCCCAGCTTGACCCTCCCCTGACGCAGCTCTACGACCCATTTCTGAAATCCCCTTTTAGTCCTCAGTGTGTGAGCACCCCCAGGAAAATCTCTGTCAGGTGACATTAGCAAGAGGGGAATTAAATCTTAGAGGATTTAGGCGAGCAGCTTTGGCTGGAGTAAATCAGGAAATACCTCACTCCTTAAAAATCCAGGTGTGTCTTTGGGATGATTTGTGGCCTTCAGACCAGGGAGGGTTCAGGTTGGATGTTAGGTGCAGTTTCTTTGGAAGGGTGCTGGCACGGCTGCCCAGGGAGAGGTGGAGTCACCGTCACTGGAGGGGCTCCAAAACTTTGGAGATGTGGCACTTGGGGTCAGTGGGCATAGTGGCATGGTTCAGGGTTGGACTGGAGCATCTCAGAGGTGTCTGCTCCAACTCGATGACTCTGTGGTGGCCTGGCCCTCTCCATATCTACATCCCAGCTTGTTTTTTAGCTCCAGGAGTTTGGGACTGGCTCTGGTGAGGTTCATTTTTCCAGCCACCGCCTCCTTCTGCCCTGCCTTGTGTGCAGGGATGCAGAGCTGATCCTACACCCCAGCAAAGGCCGGGGGCAGCCTGGCCCTTGCCATACCTTCAAAGTCCTCCAACCTGAAATGGCCTTGCTCTAAATTAGCGTCGTGGTTTTGCTGTGGTGTCATGGATGCATAGAGCCACCTCCATCCCGGAGAGGCTGTGCTTCCTGCCGTGCTGCTCGCTGTCTCTAATTAATCCTAATCAAGCTTTGCTTGAATTTTAGGCAGACTTGGGCTTGAAGGCCACACTGAGGAGCGAAGCTGGGGCAGGGAGGAAACTGCAGAGTGCTGACCTTGGGACCATCTCACCCTCACCCTGCTCTGGGATGTGCTGGGAGCGTGTTTTGCTCATCCTGCAGCCAGAACACTGCGTTCAGATAAGGCTGCACCTTTCCCATCCAGCACAGAGGCTGAGCATCCATCCCCTGGATTGCATAACCACAGCAGAGCTGAGCGGCTGCAGCCTTCTCTGCTATTGGATGTCAGCTATTGTGGGCTCCTCTTGATGAGGTTTTTGTTTGGCTTTTTTGTCAGATGTGTCACACGGTTCGGGCTATAGGCGCTCTAAAATTGTCCTTTTCCTACACACAGCTGATGGGAGACAAGGAAACAAATCAGCTCTTTTTAAATTTCATTTCCCCCGGCTTGTCCTGCTTGTTCCCTGCTGTAATTGGCCTTCCCTGCTGTAAGCGTTTTTCTGGTTAGTTGTCAAGGAAACGTTTTAGCAGGGCACATCCTGCCTCAGCAACCTGCATCCCAAAGGACTGATGCTATCCTGCACCTGCATCCAGGGAGCAGAGCTGGGTAGGAAGGCGTTGACCCCCCCACAGCATCCCCACCTCGTGCTCTGGCCTGGCTGAACAGATGAGTGCCAGGTAGGGTGAATTTCTGCTTTAAGACTTGGAGCAGAGAAGCAGGCTGATGGATGCCTTTGGTGCAGGAACACCTCTTCATGGCAGTCCCATGTGCTGGTGATGGTGTGCAGGGCTGGCTGTGGGTCTGGTGCCTGGAGAGGGATGGAGCATGCTGTCCCTGTGCGTAGTGCCCCAGGGCCCCATCCTGCCTTGCAGTACATGGAGCACTTTCCCTTAGCTCATATAACCACACCATTCTGTCCCCAACAAGTTTATGTTCAAGTGAACAAGGCAAAGGGGTGGGAAGGGAGAGCAGGGTGTGGTGTTGGCATGGCAGAGGGCACAATGCCAGTGCCATCAGCTTTCCCCAAGTGGAGGCTGTATGAGGTTACAGGGATTGCTGACTGCCAGCTTTCATCGGGGTGCCAGGTGGTGTGGAACCAGCACAGGGTCTTGTGGGTGGTCCTGGAAATCATTCCTCTGCCCAGAGATGCTGCTTCAAAGTGGGAGAAAAACGTTAATGCTCCATTTAGTATTGTGACTTTCTTGATACCTCTCATCCCAATCCAGTGTTGTTGTCCACAGGAGAGAAAGTGCAGATAGTGATCAGAAGTAGGTCATCATAGCAGGGAAGGGCAGGGTGTAAGGAGCTGCCTTCTCAGGGTGGCTGCTGCACGTCCTGTCCCTGCTCCTGTCCCTGCTCCTCCCAGCCCATTGCTTCAGGCCACTCAGTGCCATATGCTGCACTTCGGCTGTGAGAAGTTCGGGGGCTGCTTCCCATGTGTGCCAATTTGGGCACTGCTCCTGGCCAAGGTTTGTTTCCTGGCATCTTCTCTCAGTTTCTGTTGTGTTGCCTTCGTTTCGTTTTCTCAGCAGGCCCTCACAGAGAGCAGCAGCTGTCTCTCTGGGTGGACACGTTGCACTTCCAGCCTCTCTCTCCATATTTCTCCCACCACACATCTGCTCCCCATGCACACCCCTTGCCTTTCCCAGCTCATGCCCTAAAGCAGACGGCGTGGGGCAGCCTGAGCAGACAGCAGTGCTGTGCTCACAGCCTTCACCTTCTCCAGTCCAAAAGGTTTGCTTGTGCTGCCTCCATCATCATTGAACATAAGCAAAATTCCATCCAGAGGTCTGTTTGTATTCCATGAATTTTAGTTGCAGTCACAGTGCTTATCTCCTGGTAAACACTCGAATGCAGCACCATCTCTGTTGGGGTAAAGGAGCCCAGATAGATCTACCAGCTCCTGCAGTTTGCTTCCATTGCTTCTCTGGAGCGTCATAAAGCATTAAATATTTGTGAGTTATAAGTGTGTGCACTTGTCTCAGAAAGAAGGCTTCTTTCCTAAGAAATTCCTTGTGTAAATCAAGCTTGAAACCCATGTTTTTAACTCCGGACAGCAAGGATAAGTTTTTTTCCTGAGAGTTTTGTTTTTCAGCCCAAAAGATCGATGATTCTTGGACTGCTTAACTTCTGCCACCACTGCTGTGTCCCCAGCAGCAGCACCCAGAGGGGTGCCCCAACCCAGCGCTGCACTGCGTGGTGACTTGAGGCACAGATGAGGAGGATGAAGCTGAAGATGCGGGTTCCTTGGTGAACCCTCTGCCTACATGGACATGAATGAGAGACGAGGGGCCTGGAGACCTCAGAGTGTGAATTTGTCGAGGCAGCGTGTTGTGTAAGAGCAGAAATGGGTTATCTAATCTGGTGGAGAGGCAGAACTAAATGCAGAAGCCGAGCTGGGGCACGTGCTGGAGCTGAGACGTGCAGGTTTGGGGCTGATCACATCCCTCTGGCTGCAGCTGCAGTGCAGGAGCCGGCCGGGCTGTGCTGAGAGGCGAATGGAAGCACGGAGACAAAACCAGAGATGGGAACGGTGAGCAGCGCAGTGTCAGCATCGCATTGAATAAGAGCGGCGTGTGGTGAGAAGAACTGAAGGCAGCAGGTCAGGCGTGTGCCAGGCATGGCAGAGCCCTGCAGCAGGCAGAGGGCTGAGGCTGGCCGGCCCACGCTTCTCCAACCAGAGCCACGCCAAATGCTTCCGCCCGCGCTAAGCTGCACCAAATCGGATAAGAATCATTTCAATTAGCTTGCTGAGCATCCAGACTTCCCCCAGCACAGCTCTGGTGCCCCACGGACCTGAATGCCAGCTCTCGTGGCTGCACAGCCCCCGCGCTGGGTTCAGGCAGTTTGTGCAGGTCCATCTGTCAGCGTGTTGAGCCATGGAAGGTTGGTTTTTTTCTCGTGTTCTGCCTAGACTTGATTTCATAAAGCTGATTTTTTTCCTCTTTGGAGACGTTTTGCTGCTGATTCCCTCGTGCACCTGAAGCATTGTTTCTCCTGGACATCCCCATTCCTCGCTTTGGGACCTTCTGTGAGTGGTTGGTGTTGATCCCACACTTGGTACGTGTACAGCAGCAGACACTTAAAGGCTGGCAATGAAAGCAGCTTGTGGTAATTATCACAAAATTAAAGATAATCTCCCACTCTGGAATCGTGACAAAGCGCAGCAAAGAGATTAGCAGGACAGCATCCCAGCCCTTCCAGTGCTGTGCATCCCCCTGCCCTGCCCATTGCTGGGCTTTGTGGTGAGTGACCAGGAACATGAGCCAAAGAACTGCAGTTTCAGCACCAGATTCTCCGAGACAAACGGTGCTGCGCTCCATTGGTGGTCACCCTGTCTGGTTTATGGTTGTGCTGTGGATTAGCTGCATTTCAACCCATGCAAGTGAAGGCAGTGTGATGTAAAGCAAAACACCAAAACAAAGCTGTTCTAGCACTTGGTTTGGGAGGCTGAGTTGCAGACTACTCAAAATACCACTGGGATGAGGTGGTTTTGGCTGTTGTTCCCAGCTCTGGTCCTGTATCTGAAGGCGAAATCTTAATGTCTCCCTGTTGGCTTTAATGGAGAAATGGTGGCTTCTCCCAAAGGCAGCAGTGGAGATAAGTGATGGATTCATTTTTGTGTTGTATTTGGACGCTGGGTTCCATAAATAAATTCGGTGATCAGTATGCATTGTGGTGTGGGTGAGAAGCAGCTTCACGAGCAGCTCTGTGGGCCTCTGGATACATCTGGCTGTGGTGTTGCACAGCCCTATTGCTTACATGGGTCTTAGAACTCTTTGGTGGAACTCCAGAAAAAATAATTGCTGGGAGAAATGGTGTGTGTGTGTCTTTGGGTGAACCCAGGAACTTCAGGCTCCTGCACTGAAGTGAAACTGAGAACAGCACAACTGCTCGATGGGCTTTGCAGCTTGCTTGAATGAGCAAAGCAGTCTGTTGTAGTCAGGGTGCTTTTAATCTCACATGCCTGTCGTTAGTGATGCTTTGCTTTTCTCTCCTCAGGTCTGGCACTGAAGAAAGCAGCCATCACCGAGGTGAGATGATCTTGAAAACCCCATGCTGAGAAATGAGAATGCAATGAATGGAGACTGCATGCCAGGCTCCTGCAGGGCCTCACCTGCTCCTGGCAGTGGGACGAGGCAGCGGTGCAGCACAGAGCCCTTCAGCAGGGCAGCAGCTCGAGGGGCTGATCTCTTTCCCATAACCCAGGCTGCAGAATCACTGTCACCTCCTGGATCACAGCCCTGGCAGCAGGAGCTCAGTGTGAGGGTCTGTGTCTGGAAGCCCACCCTCGTGCTTTAGGGCACTGTGTTCCAATGGGTTTCCTTTGATCCTAGTTTCCAACATTCCCCTTTTATATTACTCACCTGGGATGATGAGCACTGATACACACAAATAGCAGAACCTTCCCATGCACTGCCAGGAACGTGGGATGTTGTTCCTTTTGCCTCCCCAGAAATGCGCATTGCAGAAAACTCCTTTAAAAGTTACTTCCCTCAGTGCAGAATGAGCCCCACTTCTTCTTGGCCTGAAAATGCAGGTTCTGTGCAGGAAATTTGTTGTTGACTGTCATAGGATGGGAATTGCTTAACCAATACCTGTGGCTTAATTATTGTGGGAGGGCGGTGGTGAGCCATGAGGGGAGGCAGGCTTGCAGGAAGATGCTCAAAGAGGAGTAGGAAGGTTTTGAAGGAGAAATGAGGCTGCCCCTTTGTTCCCGAAGTACGGGACCAGAAATAGCTGCAAGCTCCTGATTAACAGCTAAACCACAAAGAACTTCTGTCTGAACAAAATTATCCGCTGTTTGCTGCAGCTCTGAGAGATGGCTCTGTGCAGCACTGAGTGACAGTGATATAATACTGTTACTTGGGAAGTGACCTTGGATCTTTCTGCCTTAAGAGCAGCCGGGGCCGGGCCGTTCCGTAGTGTCCCAAAACCCCAAGTGCTGCTGGGGCTGCAAGAGGAGCTGCGTGCAGCTTCACCCAGTGGGTTGCATTGGTGCAACCAATTGGTGCTGGAGTGCAGCTGCCATCTGCTCCCTCCTTTGCAAAACTTCAGGAGGAGCTGTTTTTGCAGCTCACCCTGTGTGGGCTTGTCCTTTGAACTGTTAACAAATGAGATCTTGCTTAAATGGATTATCTCCATGTGAACGCAGGAGCAGGATTGTGTTATCCACGTTATCAGCCTTTTGTTTCTCCATTGAAGTGTGAGGCATTGCCATGAAACCTGAGGGCATGGGTTTTTTAAGAGCAAACCTCTCGCAGTTTGATTTAATGCATCACTGTTTGTAATCGATGGGAAATCAGAGCCAGGCATGCAGGGAATCCCAGGCACGAGCTTCTCTCTTGGCTCAATAGCTTTGCCACGGGCTCTGCCCCATTGGTGCTGAGTGTGTTGAGGGGGGGGAGCTGGGTATTTTCAGCCCTGCTGTCTTGAAGGATGGGTGGATAAATCAAACAGCCCTGTTTGAGCTTGCCAGTGCCAAATGCACCTTCTTACAGTCAGGATCCCTCCATCCTTATGGCTTGGTCCAGCCTGTGCTGCTCTGTTCGTTCCTGTCAGCCAGGCCAGCTATTCTGGGATGTCACCGTGCCCTTTTGTTGCAGGGCCCATCACTACCAGGGCAGCCTGGCCAAGGAAAGAAGATCGGTCATCGGAGTGTTGATGCTTCTGGAGAAACCACCTACAAAAAGGTTTGGATCTGGGGAGCACGTTGGTGGTGGGCAGAGAAGTCAGGGCCAGGGGTCAGGAGTGCTACAGCTGAGCTTTCCTGGCTTAGCAACCAATAGCAACCAATCTGATTTAGATTTTATGCAGCACCCTTGTGCTGTGTAGTCTTGCAAAGTGCAAACCTTTGGAGGCCTGTATGGATGTGTTCAGCAGCTGGTTGGGCTTGTTTAGCAGTATGCAGCGCTCAGGGTGGCCATGGAAGGCACAGGCATGGCCCTGCTGTAGTACAAGGAGGATCACAGCCACGATCTGTGCATACTGACACACGGCTCCTTCCTTTCTGCCAGACCACTTCCTCCACACTGAAGGGGGCCATCCAGCTGGGGATCGGGTACACAGTTGGCAACCTGAGCTCCAAGCCGGAGAGAGATGTCCTGATGCAGGACTTCTATGTGGTGGAGAGCATTTTCTTCCCAAGGTAAAGGAGACAAGGAAACAAAACGAATGGATGAGTTCTTTTTTTTTTTTTCCTCACTCTGATTTTTTCGAGAGCTTCCATCTGTCTTTAGATGACAGAGATGGATGCTCTGGGTGCTTTAAGTATGCATCTATTTTGTGCAAACATAGCAGTGGGAAGTGTTAGATTCTGCAGTGCACTGACTTGCAAGGAAGTACAACTTAAGGTGCAGTGCTGTGTGCTTGGGTTAGCCTTGCTGTGTGCTTTGTAGGATATCTGCCTCTAAATTATACCGTGTTTGAGATGGGAGAAGCTCATTCTAGAGCTCTTCACCTCTGTAAATAAACAGAGTTCAGAAGAGCTATATTCTCTATGTAAATACGTCCTGCTTGGCAAGTGGCTATTCCTTGCATTCTTTGGAAATAGGTTGTGGCAGATAATTTAAAACCTACTTTCCTGTTGTCCAGCCACAGAAGAAAGGCAGCTCGTTTGTTTGTGTCTTTTTGCAAGGCTCAATTTATCCTTTCCATACAGTAGCCTCGATAAGACCGCTTTCCTATGAATGGTGACACCAGGACTCACACATCTCGTGTCTGTTTTGTGCAGCGAAGGAAGCAATCTCACCCCAGCTCACCATTATGCTGACTTCAGGTTCAAAACCTATGCACCAGTGGCTTTTCGGTACTTCCGAGAGCTCTTTGGGATTCGTCCAGATGATTATTTGGTATGGATGTATTTTTGGACTTGTGTTTACCCTGCTTTATTCAAGATGGTCTGGAGCAATACAGTAAATGTACCCCTAAATTGAGGCTGTCAGCTGATCTCGCCTAAAAGGGGCAGAGAAGAGTCAGGGAATCCCAGCAAGGATTGGGAAGAGGCCGTGGCTTTAGGGCTCCTGTTCAGTTTTGGGGGATAATTCCAGTAAGACCAGCACCACTCAACCAAAGCTTGTGTTTGCTGAGAGCTCATATTGGAGGGAAGGGAAATGACCTGCTTCGAGTGTGTGCTGCACAAGCTGGGGTTCCTTCTGTTGCTGTCCCTAACAATAACTCGCTGTGTTTACCAGCAAAAGGGGCTGTGTTCTGTTGGCTGCAACCCTGTAATGTCCCCTGGGGCTCCGAGGACAAAGATGGGAATTTGTCCTTGTGTACTCACTTGAGAACTATGTGAATGTAGTTATGTTAATCATCTTATAAAGACAGAATAACGCACAGCTTGTTCCTGTGCTCGGAAAGCTCCTCAGAGCTGCTTTTTAACTACCCAGAGATGCAGGCTGCTGAGGCTCGGAGTGCACTGGGGTTGAATTGGGTCCCATGCACGTTTGCAGTGCCCTGCTCGGGGGATAAAAAGCCCATCCACATGGGCTCCCACCCTCCCCACTTTCTAACAGTCGCTTTTTTCTGACTTCAGCAGTAGGCAGGGGTAACCATAGCTGTAAACATAGAAGCAGAAACGAGTCTGTGCCATTGCATGGCTTGACAGTCACTGCGCTCCCCATCTGTGCCAGCCGAGATAACGCTGCCTGGTTTGATGAGTGGCTCAGAACCCGGGTGAGGCACAGAGCCTGCTCAGCTGCAAAGGTCACAGCTCTGATTTGTTGCTTCTGCTTCCCCCGATTCTCTCTTGCCTGCCACAGCAGCAAATGCCTTTAATTATGCATGAGATAATTAACTTGATAAAGTCTCGGATCATTAATCTGCGCAGTGCTGAAAGCTGTTTTCAGTACGTGATGACGAGCATTTAATTTATTGCTCTGATTATGGCCCTTACATCCCCTGCCTTCCTCTCCTCACCTCACCTCGTGCTGTGGGGACCTGATTGACCCACACAGACACCCCAGGGTTGGTGCCTCACTGCAAAGTGCACGTCTGCACTTGAGCTTTGTGTTTTTGTTCCTGCTGTTAGGCATGTCCTCAGCTGAGGACCTGCTGTTTGCAGCCTGATGCCTAGAAATGCCCTCCCAATGCATAACCCCTTGCTGTTCTGAGTGCTGATCTCTCTTTTTGTTTGGATGCCTGCTCTTATGCTTTTCATGTGTTTCCAGCAGGAGCTGAGGGAGATGTGGCTGTAAAACACATCTGTAGCAGGGCAGCATGAGGCCAGGGAGGTGCTGAGAGCAGCAGAGCATCGTGTTCCCTCCAGCACAGATACCCAGAGCAGACTGGCTTGTCTCTTAAAATCCTATCTTTCTGTCTGTGCTGAAAGGAGCTCGATGTGATACGCACGGACACGCACAATGAGAGAAGATAAGATGTCATTATGAAGCCTGGATGTTGCTGAAAGCAGAAGATTAGCTTGATTCTGAGCAGTTGGGATGCTCTGAACTGTAATCTTGCTCTCTAATTGTAAATTGTCCATCAGCTTTGCTGCTTAGACCTAACCTATAATGAAAATAATTCTCTTTCGAGCTTTGCTACCCCTTAATCTCCCGGGTAGGCAGCGTGCTGGGGAAAGCCCTCAAGGTCATAGAGCTCAGTGTGCAATGAGCTAAGGCTGAAAACATCATCTTTTTCCTCCCTAGTACTCATTATGTAACGAGCCCCTGATAGAGCTTTCCAACCCTGGTGCCAGTGGCTCCCTCTTCTATGTCACCAGCGACGATGAATTCATCATAAAAACTGTGATGCACAAAGAAGCTGAATTCCTCCAGAAGCTCCTTCCAGGCTACTACATGGTGGGTATCGCTCAGCACCTGGGATTTGGGTTTGCAGTGGCAGTTTTCTGTCCCCAGCCCTACACAGAGCACATTGTCCACCCATGTCTTGTGGCATGCCTGCCCTGTGCCAGTGACAGCACCAGTGCTGCGTCATGCAGCCAATCCCAAGGCAAAAACCTTACCAATTATCTGCAAATAAGCAGTAAATTAGAACCAGAATCTGCTGCCGAGGGAGGTGTACAAACCAGGAGCTGCCTGTCTGCATACCTACATTGAAAGATCCAGCTCTATAGATGAGGGCACTGAAATTCCCTTAGTTCAAAGAATTTTGCTGCTACACCTGTCTGGTGCAGAGCTGTGAGTTACCTGTAGAACTCCAATGCCTGTGGGTTAGTGTAGGGCTAAAGCCTGATCTCTGCTGTTCTTGGGAAACCCATTCAGTGCGAATGAGGAGGAAGCAGAGGAGGTTCATCCTGAGTTCCTTTATTGCTGGGAAATTGGGTTTGCATTCTCCTTGGCTGCCTCTGTTGCTTTCAGCTCACACTGCAGCACACTGATGAGGAGGGCTCAGTCCTGCACCCAGCTAGGTGAGAGGAGGTGAGAGTGTGAAATTCAATGCAGCTGTGCTTCTGCTGTCTGTCAGAAGCTGTCAGGTCTGTCCTCTCATCACAGCGTGCAGAGATGTTCTGTTTTTTTCCCAAACTTTCCCAAAGCTGAACAAGCAAATCACGTCTGTCATGTCATTCCTAATAATGCAGCTGTCTAAAAAAAGGACACAGTAGTCGAGCAGGATATCCGTGCTCTCTGCCCATCTGTGTGTTTTGTAAAGCAGCTCTCCAGAAGGAGGAGGAGGAAATTGATGTTGTTTTGTTTGAAATTAAAAAAAAAAAAAGGCAACCAAAAAAAAAACCCCCCGTGTCCCTGGTTTATTCTGGGCTGGAGAATGGCTCTTGAATTCTGACACTTCTGAAGAGTTGAAGATAGCTGTTATTTTTAAACTTGAAGTTCCCACTTATTTGTGTTTTTCTCTTCCAGTTTGGTTTCCCTTTTTTAGCTGCTGTTGATGGGGAAAGCAGGGAATTTCCGGACTTGGTTATTTGCCCAGAGAGCTCTGAACATCCTATTCCCTGTATCAAGGCCCAGTGGTATTTTCAGGTCCTAGAGTCACTGAAATGCAAGAGTTTGTCAGAGGTGTTACAGTCAGCTCTTATGTAAAGTTCAGAAAATCTCTAGGTGATGAATCCTTAGACTGGCTGCTTCATTTATGCTCTCTGTGTTGGAAGTCCTGTTCCAAATGACCTTTCCTTGTGCTTTTTCCAACCCTGCTGCAGAACCTGAACCAGAACCCACGGACGCTGCTGCCAAAGTTTTATGGACTGTACTGTGTGCAATCAGGGGGCAAAAATATCCGCGTGGTGGTGATGAACAACATTCTGCCTCGCGTGGTGAAGATGCACCTGAAGTTTGACCTGAAAGGCTCAACCTATAAACGCCGGGCATCCAAGAAGGAGAAAGAGAAGTCCAGCCCCACGTACAAAGACCTAGACTTCATTCAGGACATGCCCGAGGGCCTGATGTTGGATGCAGACACCTTCAGTGCGTTGGTGAAGACGTTGCAGCGAGACTGTCTGGTAAGGAGGGGATGATTCAGGAAGTGGGATAACAGAGCTTGGAGTGTGGGGAAGACTGAACGACTGCTAACCTGCTAACCCCAAAGCAGGAGAGGTCCCTCTGCTGCTCTTTATGGTGAAAGCAAAGCAGTGGAGTTGAATCTTGTGGCATTCTCGGAGGATTAGGACATCCTTTCAACTCGGGCATCAAACTGTGGCAGTCTTGCCCGTTGTAGCCGGGCCCTTGGGACTAAATACATTTTCCTATGTGATGTGCAAAAGGTATTTATCATAGAATCACAGAGTGGTTGGTTGGATGGCACCTTAAAGCCTATCCAGCTCCAACCCTGTCTGGGCTGGCTGCTCCCACTAGCTCGGGCTGCACAGAGCCCCATCCATGGCCTTGGGCACCTCAGGGACGAGGCACCCACAGCTCTCTGGGCAGCAGCACCAGTGTTCTTCTTAAAGGTAACATGCTACTTGTGAGCCTTCAGCCCTTTGGGTTGTGGGATGGCCAAATTCTGCAGAATCCAGAGATGTTTACTAATCAGAAACATTCAAGCTCTGGCAAAGCGGTTGTTAGCACGAACACGGATGGGCTGTCTCGGGTTTTGGGGTCTTGCTTTGTTTGAACTGCTGACCTGTGCCTTTTTGTCTTTACTCTTAAATTCTGTACTAACTTGCAGGTGTTGGAAAGCTTTAAAATCATGGACTACAGCCTGCTGCTTGGTGTCCATAACATAGACCAGCAAGAACGGGAGCGGCAGTCTGAGGGAGCGCACAGCACGTCGGATGAGAAGCGTCCCGTGGGGCAAAAGGCACTTTACTCCACAGCCATGGAGTCCATCCAGGGTGGGGCTGCCCGGGGGGAGTCCATAGACACAGATGACACGTAGGTGGAAAACTAGGCTCCTCCTGCTGTGGGGTGGGGGGCAGAGTAATTCTCAAACTGAGGGCTGCTTACAGCTCTCCTGGGGTTGTGGCTCTGCTGCCTGAAGCCATCCCAGCACGATCAGCTGTGTAAGTGATGGAGCAGTGCATCAGGGTCTGCCCCATCTGGGGGCTGGGGGTTCCTCCTGGCTGTCCTGCTGGCGCTGTGGACTTTGCTACCAAATGCTGCAGTTTGCTGTGCTTGCTGCTGGCAGCCACACACCATGGAACCAGCCGCTCCGGTTTCAGTGGAGGATCAGTCACAGTGAAGCCAGGAAATAATTTGGTGTTTCCATTCTTTCAAAAAGCATCCCTAATTGTAGTGGCCTGCCTTATGCTTGCATGCTTCTGTTGTGTGTTGGTGCTGCTGCACCTTTGGCTGATATTAAGGAATACCTTTGTCCTTACTGATCTGCTGCCCTTAATGGGCAGCTTGTGCTAATTTGGAACTGATCCGGTCCTGAGAATAAAATATTCCTTAGCTAAGAAAAATCATACGGTGCTCTTTACCCCCAGTGGAACTGTTGTCATACAACAGAGGTGCTGTCCTGATATCTCACATTTGGTGATCCTGGCAGGCAGCCCCTGTGTGAGATAGGCTGGGTGGGTAGGTGGCTGCTGCTAGGTTTCATACTGTCTGACCACCACATCAGAGCCCTCCTTCCAGTGCTGTCACCACCCTTCCTCAGTCCTGGAGCCTAACAGCTCTTTTTCAGTCTGTACTCACTGTGGCCTTGTTTCACCTGCAGGATGGGAGGAATCCCAGCAGTGAATGGCAAAGGAGAGCGTCTCCTGCTACACGTAGGAATTATAGATATCCTTCAGTCATACAGGTAGGTGCCTCTGCAGTCATCTGTCCTCTAAGTGTGCTCCATCTATTTTAATACTGAATGAAAGCAAGAAGATTTTCCTCTCCTGAGGTCTTTGATGGTGTGTAGGCAGGCTGCCTAAAGCTGTCTGATGTGTGTTGGGAGCGCTGGATTTTTATCTTGTCCTTAGAACAGCTGGTGACAATGAGCTGTTTGCCTGAGGTATAATGAGTTGTTCTTAAAGAAATTCCCCATCACTGTGCCTGGGATGGGCAGCACATACTCAGGGAGGGAGGGTGATTTACTGCAGATCTTGCAGCCCTGCTCCTCCTTCCCTGGAGGGTTCCCAGGCAGTCCTGGCCCAACTCTGCTGACCTCTTGGCTGGAGCAAAGCTGTGCTCCACACAGAGCAGGGATCAGCAGCTCAGTGAGCACTCCTGTACGGGTTATGGAAGGTGGCTCTGACACCAAGTACATGCCTGGAACTGGATCTTTCTTTTTCTCTCTGCTTCTTCCCTGCAATTAGGTTCATCAAGAAGCTGGAACATACCTGGAAGGCCCTTGTCCATGACGGGGTGAGTGCAGGGGGTGCCCTCAGCAGGTTACCTGCCTTGGCTTGTGCTACTTGGTGCCAATTACCTCGCTATTTATAGTCCCTAAAGTGGTACAGTTGAAGCTGATGAAAGGAATAGTTCTTGCCTCTTGTGCCTCCACAGCGGTGTAGTACAACTTATTCCCAATCAGGTTTTCTTGCACACTCCACCTCCTCACATGCTTAGCTGTCATGCTACCAGCTCTCCTCCTCTGCTCCCATCTGTCATTTTCCTCCTCCCTGTGTTACCAGGAGCTGTATGTGCAAGGCTTGTGTGTTCGTCTGTGTGTTGAGGAACATTGCCTTGGCTCTGGTGATTGACTGTGGTTCCTCTGCAGTAAGCTATCTGCTAATAAATCCCTTGCAGTGTTTCCCTGCACTCTCATCTCCAGCAGCAGCTAGGTGTGTGTTTACAAAAGACCATCCTCTAGATACAGGAACTATTTGTCAGCGTTGCATATCCAAGCTTCCCTTAAAAAAGTAATGCAGAGGAGAGGTGGAGGTGCTAAGTCACAGCAGCACGGTGACATCAGAAGCAGAGACACCAGCTCCATTAAAACAAAAAGTGCAAAATGTTTGAAGAGTGTGGAGACCCTTGGCTGACTGTTGGTGTCCGTGTGATATGCAGCTGTAGCCAGGTGTGCTTTAAATGTCAGCCAGCAAAACCAGAAGAAATTTCACACATGTAATCAAGTCTGTATTTGAAAAATACAAAAAGTCTATAAAGGAATAAAATCACCAAAATCCATTATAAAATTACAGCAGGAGCGTAATCAAATGCAATCAAATCAAAGGCAGTGCTTCAGGCTTATTTATAGCATTAATCAGATCATTTCAGCTAAGCCTTTCCATTTTAAGGATCTATCAGTGCTAAACGCTGGAATAGAAAAGATTGCATCGGCTGCTTTAGAAATTCTGCCTTGAGGAGTAATTTTAAAATGAAACACTGGTTTCTTGCCTTTACAGGACACGGTGTCAGTACACAGACCCAGCTTCTATGCAGAGAGATTCTTCAAATTCATGACCAACACAGTGTTCCGAAAGAATTCCTGTAAGTACAGAGTCTGTGTCTGGGATGCAGCCTTATCCCCATCTCACTGCTTGTGTCCACACAGAATATTTCTGGGCAGGATTCTGAGCAGTGACACAAAGCTGCAGAGCCCTGGGGTTGCCATGGCTTTCTGTGGCCAAACTCCTGTCCTGGAGCTCTCCAGGCAGTGTGAAGCTGGCAGGGCCATCTCTGTCTATGAAGGGAAAGGTTCCTTTGGTGTGACTTCTGTTGGTAGTAATTCCCTCTTTCACTCCTCTCCTCCAGCTTTGAAGTCATCTCCCTCAAAGAAAGGGCGTAGTGCCTTGCTGGCTGTCAAGACTTCTGGTCCAACAGCTGCATTCTCAGCTAGCCAGCTCCCCTCTGAGAAGGATGAAACGCAGTACGACCTCCGTGCAGCCAGGAGCTATCCCACCCTTGATGACGAAGGTAATGGCCTGGTTGGTGTCTCATGGCTGTGATCACTCTCTAATTCCTAGCAGTGCTCCCTTTTCTTGTTGAGCTGCCCGTTCTGCACCAAACACGTGCCTTTCTTGTTGGGTAGTTCTTCATTCCCTGCCTTGCAGTGCTTTGCAGGTACTAAACTTAACCAGGACAGGGGGGAAGGTAAGAGTAAATTGTTTTGTCGCAGTGCTAGCAGTTGGTGGATTGGGAAGCAACGCCTCTGCATCCCAACCAAATCCCTTCTTTGCAGCACTGTATGGTTCTGCAGTAAAAATGGTTGCTTGCGTCACTGCTGCAAGGCAATCTCTGCCAACTGGCACCAGCAGTCATAGCCCAAATGCAATCAGAAGGTTGGGTTTTCCACCTGTAGAAAAAATGGAACTGAGAACTGCACGTCTCTGATGTTTGAATGGGTATAAGGGGGAAGATCTTGCCATTGGGAGAAAAAAGATGAATGGATCTGGTTCTTTGCCTTTGTATCGCTTCCGTCTGGGCTGGATTTACAGATGGCTGGTGAAAGGCAGGCTTCTTGAGTGTGTAAGTGTTAGATTTCTACCCGTGCAAAGCAGCGAGCACTCGATTCATCTCTTAATTCACTTGGATATTTATCTCTGTCAAGCCAAGCCTTTAATCCAGCTTTGGTTACCAGTGAGATGTCTTCCTTGGCATTACATTTCCAGTAGTGTCTATCTGTTGTGCTGGAAATGGTGCTGACTGGCTCTCTCTAGAGGATGCTTTGGGATAAGCTGTTGTTTTCGTGAACTCAGCTCAACTTCTTGCCTGTTTGTGCATTCACATGGGGGAACAGCCTCTCACAAGGCTGCAGCAGATAAGGAGCTAATGTTTGACCTGCTTATCGTTCTCCCTCCATCTCTCCTGCCCCACGCTTCGGGCCAGCAGGCAGACCAGACCTGCTCCCCTGCACGCCTCCTTCCTTTGAAGAAGCCACCACGGCCTCCATAGCCACAACGCTCTCTTCAACATCTCTCTCTGTTCCTGAGAGATCCCCTTCAGAGACATCAGAGCAGCCTCGGTACAGGTGAGCTCAGTGCCCGTCCCCTGCTCCTGCTGCTGCTCCTCTTCGTGCCGCAGCTCTCGGCAGCCTGCCCTGTGCTCTGCAATGCTGATGACCGATTTTAATTAAATCTCTCCTGGGAGCAAGCAGACACAGCTTTGATGGGATTAATTATTGCTGGGAGAAGTGTCAGCTGTTAAGTAGAACATCTTCCTCACGAGGTGGGGAGTTAGATTTGGGTGCAGTGTAGGATTTCTGTCTTAAATCCACCCTCTAACTCTGCTCTCCTGGTTTCTTTCTGCAGGAGACGCACACACTCCTCAGGGCAGGATGGCAGGTGAGAAATGTGCCTCATCCTCACGTTTATACCACCTCACCTGTGCAAAGGCTTCTTTTCTTGGAGGGCTGAATGTGCATCTTAGCAGCCCCAAGATTTTGAGGTGGTTCTCTGCAGGATGATGAGATTCTTCCTGCATCAAATGAAAACCCTTGATTGCAATTTTCCTTACAAGCAGACCTCCCAGTCCTTTGCAAGGAATCATTAATATTACTCCTGTTATTTGATGAGAAGAAGGACAACTGGATTTGGATGTTTTGTCCAAATGTAGCCACTCAAGTAGCTCTAGAATTAAGCAGAATTGTCCCTTACGTCCCCCTCTGGATAAGCAAGCCTTAAAAGTTGGAAAGTTCCTCCCGTGTGCAGTGGACATGTATATGGGAGAGGCTCTGGCACTGTGAGCACACTCAGACCCCATGAGAAGCAGCTTGGATGCTGCTTAGTGTTGTCAGAAACTTGGGAGTTGTTTTTCCTGCCTGTGGCAATAGGTGGCTCAGAGCCAAGGGCAAGGTGGGACAAAAATCCCTTCTGCATAAGAGTGTCCAGATTTAGAAGCTCTTATCGTGTAATTATCTTGCATACTTTTGCACCAGTAAAAATAACCCTGTTGCCTGTGTCAGCAGGACCCGAATGAGGACCTGGCTTGCTGCTGGTTCTGCCCTAGTTTTTTGGTACATCTTGTAAGCGTTGTAGTTACAAGCTTTGAAATGCATCTCAGAAACTCTCCCTCCTCTGTCCCTGCTGTCAGCGTTTGGTGCTTCAGGGGAAGGAAAAGGACACTGGGAGATGGGAGTTTCCACCACCTCCCAGGCATCTCCCCCTGTTCCTAGTTTTTACTGATTGTTGAGCTTCAGACCACACAGACTGAAACAGTCCTTTTCCAGGGTATTTCTTAATGAATCTTGGTACGTTCCTGTCAATGAAGGTGCAAGAGGCAACTTGCTGTTGGTTTGCAGCCCCCATAGAAGTGGCAGGGGAGCTGTGAAGCTCCTCTCCTCCTGCCAAATCCACTATCTGAAACTGCTGAAGATTAGGGATTAATGGAAATTAAACTCAAGCACCTGTGTCAAGACCCACTTGGCAAAGTGCAGTGACTTCACCTGAATTGCTCCAGGCACCCTCACTGTAGGATGTGACTGCTCATCTGAAAATAGGTCAGGTGAACCGTGTCCTAGAAGTAGCAGTGCAGGGAGCTGAGTGACTTGGGCAGAGGTGGATGTCTGTCACAGACTTGCCACAGCTGCAACCACCCCATCTTATTGTGACCCTCTGCTTATTTTTTTGCCTAGTTTCTGTATTTCTGGTGCTGGTGTCTGTATCCTCTCAGCTGAAATGAAAAAGCCCTTCACCAATTTGCTCAAGTTTGAAACGTGGCAGACCTCTGACTACCCAGATCTGCTGGAGAACTCCCTCTGGGTTTAGGAAATGCATCCCTCCAGCAGCTGGATGGGAGCTGTGCTGCCTGCTGGTTCCAGCTCTGGGACAGAGCAGAGCCAGCCAGGGACGGAGCAGAGCTGGCCAGAACCACTTAGAGACATGGAGACCATGCCCTTGGCTGGGCAAATGCCAGCTCCTCCTTCCCAGGAGGACTATAGAACCAGCCCTGCTAACACAAGCAATTACTTTAATAGCAAGAGGTATTAAATTGAAGACTGTCACAAACAGCTCCTGACTCGCAGATAAATAGGATGTTAACCCTGAAGTGAACCTCAGTGCACCAGAGCTGCAGCAGAGGTTGGAGGCTTTGGCTCCTGGGAGGACATATTGATGGATAACACTGGGATAGGTCTGGGCACATGTTTTCCCCAGAGGCCAATTGTCCTTTTTCCTCCTGCATTCAGGTTGACATCAACCATCCTTTCTGCAGCACAGGCTCATGAATCCCTTTCCTCTTGTCCTTTTTTTTTTTTTTCCTTAACTCCACAGTGCCAAAACCCAAAATCTAATGTGACTGACCCTTCTGCTGGGGAATTTTGCTTACCCAAAACCTCAGCCCTGGGAGGTCTGGCTAAGCCTTCCCGTGGTTCTTCTGTTCCCAGGTCACACGAGGAGGTGCGAGTTGAAGAGGAACTTCAGCAGATCAGTGTAGAGCTGGAGCCCAAATGTGATGTTGAGATCGTAGCTCCCGAAGAAGACGACAAGGAGTAAGTGTTTGGGAGCACTTGGCAGAGCTCTGCCCAGCACCTTTTTTTTTGTCTGTGGCAGCTCATGTTGATTTTCTAGGGCTTCAGCTTCCCTGGGGAGATGGGTCCCTTCCCAGACCTGATCCTTCTGGGTGTTAATGCAGAGCATCCTCTGCAGTTCCTCTGTGATTAATCACCCAGTCTTGCTTGCCCCCTCCTTCTGCCCTCACTGACCAAATGCTGTTGTTTCTTTCCCCTTTCAGAGAAGCAGCTTCTTCAGCCTGTGCCATTGTAATGTCCACAGCTACAATAGAGGTGGAGACGGCCAGCCAGGCCTCCGAACCAGCCAGCCAGGCCTCGGATGAAGATGACGTGCCAGTCACAGACATATACTTTGTAAGATACCCTCTGGCTGGTCCCTCAGGGATGGAACAGGGTTGTGTGGATGAGGCTGTAATCTGTTTCAGGCAGAGGGGTGTGTGGAGCAGCGTCTGTCCTACGCTGTGCTGAGCACCTTGGTGCTGGGCAGAGTTTGAAGACAGAGAATGGGAGAACAGCACCTAGTGTGGCTGAAGCACGTGATGCCACTGCTGTGGATATAGTAGGTGTGCTGCTCTATTTGGAAGGACTGGTGCTGAAGGGCTTATCTAGGGCAGTGTGTTCACTCCTGGGACAAACCAACGTGAACGTTGGTGCTGCAGAGGCCCCCCCAGCCAGGGCCCTGAGCACAGACACGCCGTAGTGGAGCAGAGGTGGTTGTGGTGGGGCTGTGAACTCTGGATTTTCCTCTCCCTGCAGGCAGATGCATTAAGTGGTGCAGTGGAAGTCTAGTACTGAGACAGGGAGTAAGTGAGGTGGTTGCTGTTGGCAGCAGAGTGCCGTGGAGCCTGGGGCTGTGTTCCTCAGCCAGCTTCCACAACGTCTGAGCAGCTTCTGCAGAATGGAGAGGAGTTTTTAGGAACGTGTGCCTGCTCTGTGGATTCCCAGAGTGGAGCTGAGGGTCTGACCCATGGCAGCTCTCCCCCACATCCTGGCACTGGAACCTTTCCATTAAAAGAGGTGCTCTGCTCCAACTTGCATGGCGATGGAGTTGAGCTGTGCCCTGTGAGCTCCTTCAGGCTACCCTGAAAATGGCAGCATTTGGCTCTCCCTCTGCTCATGTGGCCCTGCTGCAGAGCTGCTCACTCGTTGCCGAGTCATTTGGAGGCTCGTGGGAGCTGCAGAAGGAATCAATTTTACAAGCTTGTCTGTTTGGGTTTTTGTGCATGCTGTTCCAAATGCAAACAGCTCCCTCTAACATTGGCTGCTCTTTCTTTGCCTGTGGATGGCAGCTGCGTGCAGACTGCCTGCAGATACTGCCTGTTCCACTGGCAAATGTCTCCTAGCAAGGGGCAGCTCCCTTTCTCCCTGTCCATTGGCACGTGGACTCCCCTCAACTTCCACGGGGCTCTTCTCTATCCAGAAGAAACCATTTGTGTGCAGTGTGTGCTCACAGAGAGCCTGACTGACTCATCAGCATCTCATACTTCATCTGAGTCCTTGAGTTTTGCATTAAATGTGTGTTGTGTGCTGTGGAGTGTTTGTCACTGCTGGGATGAAGGGAAAAGCTGATCTGGGTTTCCCACTGGCATTGGTGGCTTTTCTGTTTGTTTTTTTTTTTTGTTGTTGGAAAACCACTGGAGCTCAACCAAGGCTGCACCCAAATGCAGCAAGGCTTGGACCCCAGCTGCCCCTGCAAGCACGCTCCAGGAGCGATGATGGGTGGAAGGATGCTACGTGCAGAGGATGATTTGTCAAGTCCTGGGGGCCCATGGTCTGCTTGTTGAATTCAGCTTCCAAAAGAAGAGCACTTTATCCCCCTGCTCGCTCTCAGGGGAATAAAGGTGCAGAGATTTGTCAGGCACAGGCACTGCTACTCCCACGCATGGCTTTCCTGCCTGCTGATCCGTTCAGACCTGGAGTTGTCCAACCCCTTGGATTTTTTTTGCTTTCTCTTCCATCCTGTCTTTCACATCATCCTTCTGTTGTTTTTTTTTGTTTGTTTGTTTGTTTCCCCCTCTGTTTCCTTTCTCACCTCACTTACCCCGGGGCCATGCAGTTCACAGATGGGAGGTACTGGATTTACTCTCCCCGTCAGCGCAGACTCCGAACCACCTCGCTTTCCTCCAGGACTGTAAGTGACCATGCTAGCACGTAGCAGAGCTGCAGCTTTGAAACACTGGGGTCAGCAGCTCCATTGCCCAGGGATGCCATGGTTCTGTACTCTGTGACCACTGAGAGTCAGCCCAGTAGAAACAGGGAATGCAGATCAAAGCTGCCTGAATCAATCTGTCACGGGATCTCACAGAAGTGAAGACTCAGCCCTACTTTTCTGCAGGCTGAGGGCACAGCTTCTGGTTTGGTATCACCCAGCACTTGGACAAACTTGCAGGGAGCAGATCCATGAAGATGGAGACACTTGAACATTTACAGATGATGTTAGGCACAGCCCCCTTGGCCCAGGAAACCAAACTGGGTTCTGTAGAGCCTACCAAGATGTTTTGAAACTGCTGTTAAGCCAGTTTTGGCCTTTTAGACCTGTGGCCAGTTCTTTCTGGTGGCAGCTTCTAAATCTGAAGGAGTTGAGAGTTACTGACGGATTAGGGATGGTTTCTGCTCTCCAGCCCTTGCTGTTATCATCCGCAGGCTCCCTCCTCTCCACAGGTTTTTGGTGAGCAGTGAGAGTTTCACTTCCAAAAGATGCAGGGAGGCAGCTCAGTGTTGAGGGGCTGCACCCAGAGCTCTGGGTTTTGGAAGGGCTGCTGTCTCCCTCAGAGGGTGATGGCAGCACTGTCAGAGCCTTGGCACAATTTGTTCAGCATGGTCTGAGCAGTGCCTGCCTTGGAGCCAGGCTGAGGAGCAGAGGAGACATCAGGCAGGGTGCATGGGGTAGCAGGGGCAGGAGCATGCTCCTGAGCTTGGCTGCTAGGATGAGGAAAGGCAGCCCCAGCACTGGCAGGGTTAATGCTGAGCACTGGATGCTCCTTTTTTTGTTTTGTCTTCCCGCTGGTTTTGCAGCTCCCTGCATGTGTCTGGGCTCCCAAAAGGCTCTCAAAGAGGCTGGCTGGAGCATGCAGTTCAGTTGGGTTGGGTGAAAAACAGGATGTGCAGCAGGCTTTGTGCTGTGCTGAGCGTTGCTGTGCCTCCAGCAGAGCCCTGCAAAAAGCTCCAGGCAAGGTTTTCTCTTCCTTCCTTCCTCCCAGCGGTCTCTGCTCATGCAGCTGCAATTATTGGTGGGGTTCAGCACGCAGAGCCCAGTGCTTCAAAGCTCTTCAAAGCTCTTCAAAGCTCCTCCAGCTTCTTGTAGTACCTTGCACATTGTAGACGGTTCCCAGGCTGGGAGCCCCCCCCAGGCTTCTTCCAAGCATTGCATTCCATTTTTCTTCCTCTGTAAGCCTGGGTTGGGCCAAAGGGGGCAGTTTTCCTCCCTCAGGCACAGGGACACCTCTGGAACCAATTGAGCCACTTTGCAGTAGAAGTTTCCCCCTTAGGAACCTGTGGCCCTTGAGCCTGTCTGGGCTTCTCTGCTGAGTTGGAGGCAGAAGTGTGTTTGTCCCACTGATGCCCAGTGCTGTGATAAGTAGCTCCCTCGATGCACATCCCCATTCCCTTATTTTTTTTCCAAGATCCAGTTGTATTTTGCCTTCTGTGTTGTACCCATTCTCATCACCACCACTGTCTCCAAGACTGTCGGTGAAAACTGACCGGTTCCTTTCTGTGGCCGCCATCCACCACGATCCAACCCAGCCACCTGCTGCCTCACTTGGCCTGCAGGGAAGGGGGAAGGCATGGCAAACCAGGTCGAGTTCCACTGTAAAAGCCCTCCAAGATGCCAGCTTGTAGCACACCAGGGGCTCAGGAAGTGGGGTTGGGAGCTGGGAGTGGGTAGCAGGAATGAAGAGCTCCTTCACTGCCCCTTGGTAAGTCACTTCCCATGTCTCCTGGTTTCTCCGGGCTGATGCTGTGGCAGGGAGCTGAGAATTCCCTGGCACCCGCAAAGCCCTCACATCTGTCCTGCAGTGGGGGAGGTTGTGCCATCCTCCCTGGAGCAGGGTGCAGTGCCAGCTGCTGGTGGCAGGGAACAGGTAGGTACCAGCATGGAGCCCCAGCACTGAGCCCAGTTCTCTCCTCCGGGCGAACAGCTGTTCTTACTGTATTGTTTCCTACTCTTTTATTTTCTCCTTTTATTTTTTCCTCTTCTCTCCTTTGCTCCCTGCTCTGCTGCTGCTCTCCTTGCATTCTCCCCGCCGTCTCTGGCCACTCTGGCAGCCGACAGACGAGAGGAGTTGGGTTTACTCCCCGCTCCACTATAGCGCTCAGCTCCACTCTGTCTCCGATGAGGAGAGCGATACAGTAAGTGTACGAGAAACACGTGCCGGGTGCCTGCTGTGTCACGGTCAGAACGTGGGCTCCCTGCAAGCTGAGCTTGCAGAAGGAGCTTCTGTGGCCTCCGTGCAGCTTTGGGGCTCTTGCATGGCTGCAGCGGAGCCTTGGTGCAGCTCTGGCAGCAGGAGAGCTCTGCTGTGCCGCAGAGAAACCATTCAGCTCAACAGGGGTTGAGTGTAGGGAAAGTTTGGGGTCTGCAGGTTCTCCAGGCGTGGCGGTGGTGCTGGGGGTTGCAAAGCAAGCAGACTGCCCTCCTCACCCCCCTTTTGGTTCTGGGGATTTGGTGGGCTCAGACCAAACCCAACGCGGAGTGGATGCTCGGCTGTTGACTCTCTGTTCTCTGCCTCTTGCAGTAATCTCTATGCAGACACAGAAGCCCCAGAGAGCAGCGATTCCCTCTGCAGGTCGATGTGTTCCCTTTTCGTTGATGCAGCCGTTCCAGTGGGATGGGGAAGAGCTTGCTGACACCAGTTCTGCTGCACTGCGGGATCCCGGGCACTGCGTTTCAGAACGGAGCAAAACTATAACCGTCTGTTCTACTTCTCCCAGACATGGGCAGCAAAGAAACCACCCACTCACCCACAGCTCCCAAGGGAGACAACCAGCTGGGTGTAGAGAATCCTGGGTAGTAACACCGTGTTTTCCAGACGTGCACTACCGTAGCTACCTATCCATGTGTAATACTGTGAACCTTTTTAATTTTTTAATCATGTATTTATTTCTTTTATCTTTGCACACAGCACAAATGTGCTTTTTTAAACATTTAGTTTACTGTACTTTTTTTTTTTTTTGGTTGGTTGGGTTCTGTTTGTTGGTTTGGTTGGGTTTTTTTGTTTTGGTTTGGTTTTTTTGGTTGTCATATATCTGTGCATCAGAAAGGAGCGTGGGACCTCACTGGAGGATTGGTAGGAGCACAGTGCTGGGGAGGGCAGGGAGCGGAGTGGCTTCGCTGGAGGAGGCAGCAGCGTGGTCTGACCTGCTGATGGAGTCAGGAGGTTTAAGGCCAGGCAGACTGCTGCAGTTTTGCTGAGTGACCTAAGGCAAGTCACCTAACCACTCTGTGCCTCGGTTCCCCCGTGCTATGGGTGTGCAGTTCCCACTTCCATTCAAGCACTTACACCCTGGGATGAAAGGTGCTATGTACATGCAATGTATTAAAGGCCATTGAGTAGAATTGCTCCTATGTTACAGTAGTAGCCATGCCAATTCACTTGGATCCAAAAATTGCTAGTGACTCCTCTTGATCCCTGACACTGAGTGGGGGAAGCAAGTGATTCCTGGCAGTGCCGACGTGCTCACCTCGGCTCTCCGGACGTCACAGTGGCTTCTGCCTTCACCTGCTGCTGTCACCTGCTGCTGTCACCATTTCTCCGTGCTCAGAGCCCACATCTTGTCGTAGTGGCCGCTGGCAGACATGGACAGATGAGGACTGGGCACCTCCAGGGACTGCTTCGTGGAGGGACGTTCCCTGCTCTGCCCGGACCCCGCATCCCACTGGAGCTGCTTGGGACCTCACGGGTGTATCTGACTGAGTTCCATATCTGACTGAGTTTTGGGGGTTACCAAATGTTGGGTTCACGCATCTCCTTCGTGCCTCAGGGCAGCCGGGGAGGTGCACGCATGGATGTGTGCTGGAGGCAGGAATGTGGGCAGCACTGTGTGCAGACTCTGTGGGACAAGAAGCTGGGTGACTCGGCTGCTTGGGATGTGTGAGACACGGACAGTTTGCTCTTCGTGGGCTGCAGGCTTTAGCCAAGAGTTGGTGTCACTTGGCAGTGCTCGGGTTAGGCTCGTCCTTCTGTCGGCTGAACACCTCTTGAACTCCAGCAATTTCATCCTCCTCTCAGAGAAGTGAAACCCTTCAGCCAAGAGGGAGCCAAGTCTTGTGTGCTTTGCAAGTCTCACTTGAGAGAGGTCAAAATCTCTTTGTTCTCATTACAATCTTCAGCTGTCCTTAGGATTTGTTGTAGAGGAGTGTGGGGGGGAATCCCTCCTCCTGGGGCTCAGTCCCCTTCCATCTGTCCCCACAGCAGCACTCAGGACTGGTTCACTGAGGTCCAGGAAGGTAAGGGGCTGTTGGGAAGCTCTGTGAGACAATGACCTGGGAAAGGATCTGTGTGAATTATGGGACCCCTACAAGTGTGGGACCCAAACTTCCACCCCACCCCTGGGGATGCTGAAGGCTGTGCAGTGTGCTGCTCTCAGAGTGCAGGCTGGGGGTCCTGCAAGATGCTGCCCTTAGATGTATCCGTGTAGTTACCAAGTAATCTATCAGAAGTCCTTTCAAGGCTCTCCCCTTTCCATTGCATCCTTCTGTGACAGGCTGGGGACCAAACAGCTCCTGAGCCCCCTGTCTCCTGGTGCCAGCCCCGGGGGCTCAGGGGCAGAGGGGAGGTGGGAGTAGTGCAATACCTACAGACTAACGTGCCTCTGGGCTGAGAGCGAGAGGCTTCAGAATGCCCCAATTCCAGCTTGGCCGAGCCCCACCTGCCCTGGCATCTTGGGGTGGGCCAGCAGGGCTTTCCAAGCTGCCGCTTCCAGAGGTGGAAGCTCTGCTCCTTCCCCGAGCATCCTGCTGAGCGGACTGTGCAGCCTGGAGTCAGGTGGGCCCGGGTGTGGGGAAGCCCGGAGGATCTCAGCACGTTCATTCCGAGCGTTGTCCTCCTTCAGGGGCTTTGTGAGACAATCCTGGTGCGAGATCCCCTCCGGCTGGGGCTGAGCTGTGCCAACGTGGGGGGCAGGAGGAGCCAGCCCTGGGCAGCTCCCCATCCCCGCAGCCCTGGGAGCAGCGTGTGAGCTGTGATGGACGGGATGCAGTGGGGGCTGCTCTCACAGCTCCTCTTTTTCTTGGGGGGGTGAAGACGTCATGGGTGGTTTTTGGTTTTTTGTTTGGTTTTTTTTTTTTTCATTTTTTCATTTCCTCGTTTGTTGTTCGGGTTTTTTTTTTTTTTTTTTTTTTTTTGGTGGTTGTTCCCCTCTTTGGGGGAAACCGTTTGGTTTTTTTTGTTTGTTTGTTTGTTTGTTGTTTTGTTTTCCGGAGAACTGTACGTCGGTGCGATGTGTCCTCGGCTCTGTGATAAAGCATTCTCTATGTGCTGTACACACAGCGAGCTGTCGGAGCCTTCCTGCCCGCCCCGCGCCGCAATGGGGCGAGGAAAAAAGAAAAAAAGGAAAAAAAAAAAGAAAAAGAAAAAAAAAGGGGGGAGAGAGAAAAAAAAAAAAAGGGGCGGGAGGGAAAAAAAAAACCGAAAACAACCGGCCGCCGTGGGACCGCCCCCGGCCCCGCCTCCACCCAGCCGGGCACCGCGCGGCCCGAGAGCCCGGCTGGCCGCGGTATGGGGTCGGGATCGCGGAGCCGGGAGCGGAGGGACCGAGAGAGGAACCGGGAGCGGTCCGACAGCCGGAGCCGGAGCAGGGGGAGGCGGAGGGAGGAGAGCGCGGGGTGAGCGGGGCGGGAGCGGGCCTGGAGGTGGAACCGGGCATGGCCGGGCCTGGGCCTGGAGGGGGGCGGGGGTGGAGCCTGGGCCGGGCCGGGGGGAGAACGGTGCCTGGGGAGGGAGTGAGGCCTGGGGGGGGAACGGGGCCTGGTGGGGAGCCGGGCCCGGCGTGGGCCTTGCGGAGATCCGGGCCCCGTGCGGCCTTGCGGACCAGGCCCGGTGGAGGAGCAGGCCTCGGCTGTCAGAACCGGGCCCGGTGCGGCTGGGGAAGCCGGGCCTTGTGTTTGGACCGGGCTGTGGCTGCTGGGCATCGGGAAGCCGGGCCCCGTGCTCGGAACCGGGCCCTATAGAGCCTGGGGGCGAGTTGGGCCTCGCTGCGGCCCGGCCTTGTCGCAGGGAGCGGGCCTTGGTGGGGCGGGACGCTGTGGGAGGGAGTAGGCCGCAGCTGGGCAGAACCGGGCCTGGTGTGGTTGGGTGGGAAGCGGGGCTTTAAGTTGGGAACGGGGCGATTTGGCTGTGCTGGGCTGGGCTGTGCTGGGGGGAGTTGGGCCTCGTCCTGGGGCAGGCAGGAGCTGCGCCCTGTGTTTGGGAACGGGCCTCGTGGAGCTTTGGTCAGCAGCTGGAGCCCATTGCCTCTGAGCCTCGTTGCAGGCAGAACTGGGCCGCAAGCTGTGCTCAGCCCCAGCGGTCGGCACCACGCAGTGCTGAGGGGCTCAGCTGGGTCACGGCAGCCATAGCACCGGGGTGGGATGAAGGAACCCAGGGAGACCCAGCACCTCTGCGGTGGCTGGGATGCTGTCACACCACAACCATCACAGAGCTCCTCAGGAGGGCTCAGCCCTGCTGTGCACACAGTAACACAGGAGCTTGGAGCAGTGCTGTGTGCGCTACTAACACGGCTCGTGGGATGGGGTGCGTTGTAGGCAGCGAATGCTGAGCTGAACGCTCTGCTGTTGGTTCTTGCTGCAGCTCAGGACAGGTCGTGCCATTCTGTGCTAGGGGAAGCACTTCTCTCCTGAAGCGCTTCTTTGATGCAGAGCCCAAAATCAGCAACCAAAATGTGCATTTCCCCCCCCAGTTCTGATTCCAACGATGAAAGACAGAAACGGAAGAAGAAAAACAAAAGCAGGGACCAGCACCATAAAAGCCAAAGGAAGCACCGCTCACGGTCCCGGGGTCGTTCCTCTGACTCGAGTGCAGAGCGAGACAGGAGGCGAGCACGGAGCAGGGACAGGCGGAGGAGGAGGGCTGGCTCCAAGTCCTCTGTGTCCTCGGTCAGCTCGCCCTCCCCACCACGCTCCCGGGGCCAGGAGGAGTCGGGGCAGCAGCTGAGCCTTCAGGAGCGCTTGAGGATGAAGGAGGAGAAGAAGAAACAAGCTGCTCTCATGAAGGCGTTGGAGACACCTGAGGAGAAACGAGCCCGCCGACTGGCCAAGAAGGAGGCCAAGGAGAGGAAGAAGCGGGAGAAGATGGGGTGGGGAGAGGAGTACATGGGTTACACCAACACGGACAATCCCTTTGGGGACAACAACCTGCTGGGCACGTTCATCTGGAGCAAGGTGAGTGCTCCATCCACGCCTGGTTGTCCTAAGAGGCAGCTCTGTGTGTCAGCTCAGAGGGCAGCGTGCTCCTGGGGCTGCTGCGGGATGGGAACACCAAGTGGGGCATTAGGAGGGCCCTTTTCTTCAGGTGGGAACCTCTGAAAACTAAAGGGAGCCACATGAAAGCAGAGCTCTTGAAGGACATCAGCTGGGTGTTTCTGTAAAGCTCTGTGGGGTTTTTTGTCTGTTCTCTTAAAGACAAACATCCACTGTTGGATTTAGGATAAGGAGTCAGGTCATGGTGCAGGAGGGGTTCCCAGGTGGTGGTCAGTGCTCACGTTGCTGCTTGCTCAACATGTGGGTGAGCT